AGCATCTGTCTTGGTGGCCGGTCCAGTTGATTACCATCATTGGTGTTTCATTACCTCCACCCAGACCAGACCTCCTGTGCCTCTTCACTGATGCTTTCCTCTATGGTTAGGAAGCATCTCTGGACAATAATCTTACATCAAGCACATGGACCCAGGACAAGTACCCTCTCCATATCAACATGCTTGAACTTCTGGCAGTTTGTTGGACTGGTTCCAATTTCTTACCCTCCTAGTGGAACATTTATTTATGATCCATTCAGGCAACTAAACAGTTCTTTCCTGTATCAACTGCCAAGGAAGTACCTGATCCATAACCCTTTGCTTTTCAAACCGTGGACCTTCTCAATGGGAATGTTTCATCACCTGTCATGTACTGGGTACTATGAACCTTGTTGTAGACTGCCTATCGTGACTGGACCATGTTCTGCCCCAAAAATGGTCTCTTCACCCTCAGGATTTCTCGTGGGTGTGCTCTTTGTTGGAGACTCCACTCATTGATGCCTTTGTTACCAACTCCAAGCTTGCTCTCTTCTAGTCTTTTGTTTCCCATCCCTTGGCCCTGGCTATCAATGCTTTCAGCCAGGACTGGTCTCATCTTTTCTTTTATGCCTATTCACCTTTCTGTCTTTTACCTTGGATCCTTGCCAAGATTCACAACACTTCTTGTCGTGTCTTCTTGGTGGCACCTCTTTGGTCAGCTGAAACTTAGTTTCTGATTCTACACTTCCTAGCAAACCAATCCCCTCTTCCTCTGTCTAAAATACCCTCTCTCTTGCTTCAATCCCACACATCACTGTTCTATCAAGGGATCTTGTCCCTCCACCTTGACATTTGGGATTTGTTTGGTCCATAGCCCATAGAACTTGACTCTCCATTTGGGTAGACATTCTCCTTCCTCATTCTGGTTGCTCTTCTCCTTTGTTCATCTACCAGCATAAGTGACTTTGCTTTTGTCATTCGTCCATTCACCATCACCTTCCACCTGACCATCCTATATTTGGCCATCTCTCTTCTTTTTTTACCTGACTGTTCAGCCATGGATTATATGTCTCCACCATTATTAGTTATTGAGCAGCTTTGTCAACAACATTTCACTTTTCTTGATACTATAAGATGTTTTCTTTCCTAGTTCTTTTTCCACCTTGTTCTTTTCTTTCCTTCTCTTAGACCTCCTTGCCTCATTCCCATGCCTGACTGGGACATCAATGTAGTTTTGTTTGCTGTTATCCATGAACCTTTTGAGGTGTTGGCATTTTCCCTGTTATACTGTCTTTCTCTGAAGACCTATTTCCTCTTACTTCTTGCCAGTGTTTGCCATCATTCAAATATTTATGCTATCAATTGTTCTGTACTCTCTTCCATCACTCTTACATTCTTATCTATTCTGACCATTCCTTCCTCCCTAAGACTTTAGCTGCTCAGGAAGTTGACTGTTTTCCACCTATCTCCCTTTTTTCTGTTTCCTACCTCTATGATCAATCAGACTATTGTGTGCTGTTTGTTGCTATTTATCCCGCACCTCACTCTTTTGAGGCTTCCATCACCAACTTTTAATTCCCAGGATTCCTTTTCCTCTAGGGACATTTTTCTCTCTACTCTTACAGTTTGGGTTTGACAACTCCAGCAGCTGATCTACTCCTCATTGGGAGTAGATGCTTGCAGACTTTACCACATCTCATCCCATCAGATTTGCCACCTCACTCATTCCATACCACTAATTTCCATTCACTGCTGGACAAGGTCCTTCAAGCAGGTATGTGGACTATCCCACACACTTTCTTTGCTTACTATCTTCACCATTTGGCTGCCTCATCTTCTGAACATTACTGCCTGCCATTCTACAGCTCACCCACCATCATTTTCTTCTACAGTCTTTATTCTTTTATATACCAAGTGGTTGGTAGTGCCTCTCAGGATATACTTATTTCTCAAAATCTGGATCAAGCCAGGATAATGGAAAGTGCTAATACCATCTGTCTTGGCACCATACATGCCTCAAGTGGTCTTGCGGAACAATCTTGTGATATATTTATATCTCCCATTTTTGTCCTATCTAAACTTTACCTATTTCATGGACTATCATGGAAAAAGCCAGCATCAGGGGTGTTCTGTCTGCTTCTCTGGCTCGCACTTGCTGGCTTTTCAAAATGGGGTTTTGCAGTCACCCACTGCACTGTCTCCACTAAAAAGACCTTTCTAGACTGAAGGACTAATGGACATCCAGGCATTTACTCTGAGTCTCACCACTGCATATCCCCCACACTTGCCACATACTTGCCAATTGGACTTGTACACTGGGGTGATATAAAATATAGTGCCAACACAATGGGAAGTGGGGTGCTGATGATACTGTCAGTGTAGTGCAGGTCACCCCTCATATACATAAAACACATGATTTTAATGTTATCCTCCTGTGGCTGTTCAGTTGCGGTGAGGTGAGCACACATTATGATGCTTTGCCGTCCTCCTGCAGCCAGAATTTGTTCCATCAAGTTGTGGCAAGCACATAATGCAATACTGTTCCCTCCTCCTGCTGCCTGTAACTGTTCAGTAGATTTGAGGTAAGCACAGTCTATAGAATGCGCCTTCTTCTGTGGATGTCATTTGTTCAGTTGGGTTGAGGTGAACATGCTTTAACAAACTGTGCTCTCCTCCTGCAGCTGATGTCTGTTCAGTTGGGTTGAGGTGAACATGCTCTAACAAACTGTGCTCTCCTCCTGCAGCTGATGTATGTTCAGTTGAGTCAAGGTGTGTACACATCACACCAACCTCTATGGCATGAATCCTGCACGTGGTAAGGTCTTAATGTACCCCAACCATAATACACATACTGGCTCTCTGACCTCATATGTGCAAGCCCTCTGATGGCCATGTTCTTATTCCACCCATCCCTGTGACACATGGGGCTCATTTGCTTTTTTCTCTCTTTATCCCCAGGCGAAGAGTATACCTTGGATAAGATAAGATGTGGTCTCCCAAAGATGTGCCCCTATGAAGCCCCTGCCATTAGGTGCCACACTCCGTGAGCTTCCTTCAGGCACCTTCTAAAGGGAGCTTATATAGCGGCAATTTGCACCATCACCTCCACCATTTCAGTATGGGTTTTTAGCAAAACTGTGTTCAGAGATGTGATATTGTCTCAGAAGTTAAAGTTGTCCTTACATGAAAATGTATTTCTGATAGATACTTACCTCTATATACACATTTCCACCCATTCTCCCCACTTCTAGTGCACCTTTGTGTCTCTTGCTTCATCAAAGAATGATGTTCTCAAGTGCAAATGTGTAAGGGGACTATTGTGCATGGAGGTATGTCACCCTTCTATTGGTATAGAGCTTTTGCTGCATAATGATGTCATTATGTAGTAGCGCAATTAACAAAAAATCTCGTGAGATTAGATAGAAGTTAGTAAAGGCTAGTGGCATGCAAATCTCTAAGGCAGACATGTGGGGGAAGATAACAAAACTGTGTGAAGGTAAGGAAATGTTAGTTCTGAATAACAGGAGCTTAGTCAAAAAATATTTTATGAAACAAAATCTTAATTCTTCAATCTTGACTGAGTTTGAAGAAAAGAAAGATACTGGACACAAGTTAAAATACAATGAAACAATTTTTATTTTATTCAACAGTTATCAGAGTTTAAATAAATGCATCTTTAGGTGCTCTTACTGTATTACTCTAATCAGTTACAAAAATCTGTATCTGAATTTGTTCGAGACTGAGAATACATGACATAATATACACATAGAAAACAGTACCATTCTTTCCATGGTGCATGCAGTACCCTGTGACTGATGGCCACTCTCACTTCAAAATAAGTATGTTGTATCCTTAAGGTATCACCTGTCTGCCATCGGAAAGTATCAGCCTATTTCAATATAATATATCTGACTTTACAGGAACCTTTCCCACAAAAAAAGTACATGTGACACCCTAGTTCAATTGGTAATTAGGGTGGCTCCCTTGACTGACATTCAGTATTAAGACTGTATACACAATATGTAGAGAAAGTGTGAAAATTTTTATATTAACTTAGGGGGTAGGAAATGTAAGTCCCCAGTGGCACAGCGTTATGTCTGCGGACTTACAACGCTAGAATCCGGGTTTCGATACCCATGGTGGGCAGAGCACAGATAGCCCATTGTGTAGCTTTGTGCTTAAGTACAAACAAACAAAGGAAATGTAAAATATGCCTGTATAATACACTACACTACTATATTTGTGTGATTTAAATCCATTCCCTTAACAAATAGACATGGTGAACTGTACTGGTTCACTAACATAAAAAAAAATTCTACAAGGATAAATTGCACAAGACAGCATTCCATATGTTTATACATATTTTGACCTTCACAGATACCAAAAACAAAAATTACACAAATGAAAAAACCATTAAGTGTTTGCTTATTGTGTAAAATCATATCATTTAATTGAATATATAAATATATTTTACTTGTAGTGAGTTATCAGAGGTGTTAAATTAAGGTTTCAGTACAAAATTTAATTGTATATATCAAACTTTTAGCCATAAAATAATTCTGAAGTAAGTGTTTTCCCAAATTGGCTCTTGACATTAATGTTCTACAGATGGCTTATTAATGAGAAAAGATACAGATTTTATTGCTTAGATTGTTTTACTTCTCAAACTTATTTCTTTGTACATTTATATATGTTATTATAAATTATTTTGCATTGATACTTCTATCTTCATAGTTATTATTGCAACTAAGTTTAAATTGGCATACAGTACAGTTTAAAATGACAATATTAAATATTTTTATTGAATTAAAACTTTAAAGTTCTTGTTTTTGAGACCTATCCTATAATGCATCATGTTTAGTTTTATGGTTTGATTCCAGAGTTTCAGGGAGAATTATTGATTTATATTTATTGCAATGATTGTGATGAGAAAACTATTATGCCTATATCAATTTTGATTTGTTTGCTCTAGTTTTCATCTTATTTTGAATTGAATGCATTAAACTCTTCCTTTTCCTCAGTTCTCAAACGAGGAAATTATTGCAAGAGCAGTGCATGACTCATCGGATTTTGAACAAGTAAGCATACATAGTATATAAACTCTTACTTTGTGTTATAAATACTTACTTGTGTAACATGTAGTGTAAAATATAGAAAATTAGAGGCTGATGATAAGTACTAATTACTGGTTTATGTTTGTGAAATATTTCTTATGTATATTAAATCAATTAAAATCTGTAAAGTAATTTACAATGTGTTGCTGGCAAATACCTTTTTTTTTTACTTGAAACATTTTGTGATTATTGTAAATATCAGTAGCAACTATTACACATTTTTGTCAGGAATATAATACTATTCTTTATTTTTTACAAAGAGAAATAATCACTACATTCTATACTGTAAAATGTGATGCAACAGCTAAATATAATTAATCTGGTGTAAAGGTGTAAAATACTGTTGTTTATGGAGGAGAATATAGTCTAGTAAAATGGTAATAAGTGCATATTCCATTCCTTTTTATCAATGTTGTTATAAACACCAATTTTTTATCTAATGAGACACTAAGTACCTGCACTACCTGATAATGGCACCATACACAGACATAGACATGCTGAATTGGGGTGATAAGTGTTCCATATGTCACTGTATCCCACAGTCCTAATAACTGTATAGACTGTCTTGTTGTCATATGCAAATACACTTATTTATTGTTTTGTTTCTGAATGCAAAAATTGTGGTGGCCACAGATTTACAAGTGACTCAAACCTTCAGAAGGTAGAGACAGAGTTGTGTGTAGCACTGCTATGTTTTTAGGAGTGATTAGTGGATTGACACTACGTTTAAAAATTCATAGCAATTGCAGGTAGTGTCGCTCCATTTTTCGTAGTACTACATTTTTAATAGAAAATATAAATTATGATATTTTGTATATTGTTACGTCTCTGGGCGTTTGTTAATTTCTGGTATAAATTCTTCCCGAGGAACTTCAGCGATACAAGTCCTTTCTTAAATAAAACTAGTTTATTCTTTCTCAATACAACTTTGCAATACAC